ATAGTGGCTAAATTTTTGAGTGCTGTCCATGTGGAAAGACTGGGCCATTACAGAGAGATTTAGTGGTTCTTGATGTGGCAGTGTTATACTGTATTATTTATGCAAATTGATTTTCATTGGAGTTAAAGATCTGACTGGGACAAACCTTGTTATGCTGAATTCGTATTTTCCACAATTTGTATACGGTGTTTGTTTGATAATGTGTGGTTTGCTATGCCTAATAAAGGACTGATTGGAAAAAAATAGATCCATTGTTCAATATGCGTCTTATATGTTTCATTTCCTAATTTGTTTTTAAAAAAACTACATTATTATGTATATCTGTATTATTTAGAGTATGCATGGCTGACAAAGCCCAGCAGGGAGAAACAAGGTATTATTCCAGGAATCCTTGTCTTAAGTTCTTTCATCTGATACCTGCATACAGCAACTATATTTTGCAAAGGCATATGTTAAGATCTTTCATATCTTTCATCTGATACCTGCATACAGCAATTGCATACAACAACTATACTTTGCAAAGGCATATGTGGAACATTACAAAGAACAAGTTCATTTTCTGCAAGTACTGCTTCTTAAAGTTGTCACGTCTGACACTTGTATTTGTAAAGACATACGTGAAACACAAAAAAGCTTCTATTTGGACATTACGTACGTATATAAGAACTGATCTATTTGTATTTCCTGTTCAAAATGTTGGTCTTTAATTGCTTCTACTTAATTTGACAATGTGAAAAGAGGTGTGTTTATATGATGTATAAATAATTCATATAGTTAAACACAGCCAGGAACTGATATACACCCGAATAAATTTGCTTTATTTCCTGTTGGGCAGCGGCCGCAGACACATTGCAGGCTCAGAATTCTATCCCAGCCGATGTCAAGCAATGTGGCCTTTTCTGAAAGTGAGCCTCCATGGTTTTACTAGCGCTCCTTGCCTCGATTTTCGAGGTGCCTTGTCTCCTTGCCTTAGTCCGCCGCCTGGTTTCTGATACGCTTTCCAACATCGCCCCAAAGCAATTACTTTGGCAATACCACAAACTGCCCCAAACAGAGGGTTGTGATGAGTTAATCTCACACCTTTAAGCTTGAAAGGGGGTGGGGGTGGCCCAAAGGGCAAAAATAAATGTGTTAATGTGTACCTCTGGAAATCTTTCAGTGCGCTTCTAATAGGGAAGTTATGGTAACCTGTTGCTTTATGAAACTGAGGATTTTGCAAGTCGCCCCCCGCCATTGGGGCAGGAATACAGTCGTACCTCCGCTTATGTATCCCTCTGGATACGTAAACTTCGGGATGCGAACACGGCAAACCCGGAAGTATTTTTACGGGTTTCGCCGCACACAAATGTGCAGAAGTGCTAAACTGTTCCTTGCGCATGCGCAGAAGCGGTCTTCTGGTTGCGACTTCCTTGGAATGCGGCCAGACCTCCAGAATGGAACCCTTTCGCAACTGGAGGTACCACTGTACAGCTAATTTAGGGTTACCAGACGTCCTCGTTTCCCGGGGACAATTCCTGGATTCGCGAATAAGTCCCCGGACAAATTCCATCCCTGGAATGTCCCCGGATGTCATCTAATGTCCCCAGGAAACACAGCTGCAGCAGTCTCAGCAGCCTGGAGCAGTTGGCTCTGGCTGGCTTCAGGAGCTGCTCGGAAGTCCCCATATGATGGTGGTGCAGGGGCTCTAAGATGCAGCTTCCGGGCTGCATCCACCTTCCCTGACCCCAGCAACTAAGCTGTGAAGGGAGGCTTCACACTGCCTATCAGAGTTTGCATGCAAGCAGGAGGGGGGGGGGATCTCTCAGTTAGGCAACGGGAAGCCTCCCTTCCCAGCTGAGGGATCCCCACCCCCTCCTGCTTGCACGCAAGTAGGGACAGGATTGCGGCTGCTCCGATGGGAAGGGAGACATCATGCTGCCCGAGCCTCACGGCTGCTGCCACTCTCGGCCCTCCTTCTCCACCTTCCATGCCTGACCCACCGTGCACCACTTCCCCATCACCACTGAAGAACCAACAACTCAGGGGCTGCCTAGGCTCATGGAGAAAGGAGATGGAAGCCTCGGAGGAAGTGGAAACATGGCGGTTGAGGTCAAGGCGGCAGCCACCCCTTTGCCACCTCCATCACTGCAGCATCAACGTCCAGAATGTGTAGTATTTATTTACTTATTTACTTATTTAATTAAAGTGTCCCCGGATTCATTGGGGGGAAAAAAAGGTAACCTTAATTGTGAATCACAAAGATGCACCTCAAATCTAGAACATAAGTCGCTACATGGTGCAAATGGCGACACGTAACACAGGTTCCCGACATGCACACTAACACAATGTAACAGCACACGGCAGGAATCCAAGCTTAGTCTACAGAAATGGGTGAGCATCAAACGTGAATCGGCGCAAAGGGCCAGTCCTTATTGCGCATGTGTATTAAACATAAAATGAGGTGATGATGTGCACCAGGCATAGGCAAACTCAGCCCTCCGGACGTTTTGGGACTACAACTCCCATCATCCCTAACTAACAGGACCAGTGGTCAGGAGTGATGGGAACTGTAGTCCCAAAACATCTGGAGGGCCAAGTTTGGCCATGCCTGATCTAGGGCACAATGATCTGTTTCTTTTTTTCTTTTTTTGAAAAAAAAATTATTAACAATTTCAACATAGCAAATTATCCAAACAAATCATCTTCCTTGTTCCCCCTCATTTCCCCCCACCTCCCCAACAAACCCTCCCTCCCTCCCCCCTACCACTTCCCTCAGCTCCTCTCTGATTTCTTATCCAATGTTAACTTCTGCATATTATAAAACTGTATACATCCTTATATTATCTATCTTTAATGTTATCCCTCAATAAATTTGTGTATGTTTATTCAAAACCTGCCAGGGAGTCCAATTCATTTTGTTGTTTTATTAGATAATTTGTAAAAGGTTTCCATTCTTCTTTGAAGTCACAGTTGTCATTGTCTTGTAGTTTGCATGTCAATTTCGCCAGTTCTGCATAGTTCATCAATTTCTCTTGCCACTGTTCTTTTGTCGGGGTTTCCTCATTCTTCCATCCTTGTGCAATCAAGACTCTTGCCGCTGTTGTAGTATATATACCGGTAAATAAATTCTTTATTTTCCTTGGCAGGTCTTTCCCTACAATTCCTAACAAAAATGCTTCTGGTTTTTTAACAAATGTTAATTTAAACGTTTTCTTCAACTCATTATATATCATTTCCCAAAATTTTTTTATTTCTCTGCGTTCCCACCACATATGGTAAAAAGTCCCTTCTTTTTCTTTACACTTCCAACATACGTTAGACCCGGTTTTGTACATTCTTGCAATCTGTACTGGTGTTATATACCATCTATACATCATTTTCATATAATTTTCTTTCAAAAGAGAACAATCTATAAATTTCAAATCTGTTCTCCACAAATTTTCCCAAACCTCAAATTGTATATTATGTCCTATATCTTGTGCCCATTTGATCATGACCGATTTCACCTCCTCATCTTTTGTTTCCCATTCTAGCAGAATGCTATATGCACCCTTCAGCAACTTCACTTTCCCTTCTATCATTTCCTTTTGAAATCTAGTAGTATAACTAAATCCTTTCTTGTTGTCTTCTTTGTATATCTCATGTAATTGCCTGTAATGTAACCAACTCTGAAAATGATCTTTTATTTCCTACTCTTTTAGCTTCCATTTTCCTTCTTGGTCCTTTAGTAAATCACTGTATGCAAGGCATTTTCCTTTTTTACCAAGTGGCTTGAGCAGCAAAACTTCAAGTGGTGAGAGCCACCAAGGTGTCTTCTGTTCTATTAAACCTTTATATCTTATTGGTGTTTCGCAACTTTCTGACTTGTTGCAGGACCTTAGCCAGACCTTAGCAGAGTATACGCAGAGTTCACAAAAGCAATTGGTTGCAGGCAGGATGGACAAAGCAGGAACCAGTAACTTGTTCCTTATAGGTGTTTACTATCTATAACTCTAGGGAGAATATTTTTTGGATCTTCCACTGTAATCACCAAATCATCAGCATATACTTTCAATTTAAACTCACGTTTCCCAGTTTTTATCCCAGTAATCTCTTTATCTGCTCTTATATTTCTGGCAAGTACTTCCAGCACCAGAATGAACAACAGCGGTGATAATGGACAACCTTGTCTGGTTCCTTTTTGTATCTTGCACTCATCCGTTATCACCTGATTTAAAATTAATTTTGCTTTTTGTTCTGAATAAATTGCTTGTATTCCTTTTAAAAATTTAGATCCACATTTTATTTCTTCAAACTTTGTCATAAATTTCCAAGAGACATTGTCAAAAGCTTTTTTGGCATCTATAAACATCATTGCTGCTTTCTTTTCATTTTTAACCTCCAGGTACTCTATTACATTCCAGATGTTTCTTATATTATCCTTCATTTGTTTATCTGGAAGGAAACCTGCTTGATCCTGGTGTATATACTCATTTAATATTTTTTTCAATCTATTAGCTAAAATGTTTGCAAATAATTTAGAATCATTGTTTAACAATGAGATAGTAATAATATAATAATCATAATAAATTTTATTTATATCCCGCCCTCCCCAGCCGAAGCCGGGCTCAGGGCGGCTAACAACAATCAAATAATCCAACATTATAAAAACATCTCATTCTAAAAATTAATTAAAATCAAATTGATGGCAACCGTTAAGCAAAATTCTGTGCAGATTGCCAGAGGAGGGAGTCAGGCTGCGCCCTGACCAAAGGCCTGGTGGAACAGCTCTGTCTTGCAGGCCCTGCAGAAAGATGTCAGGTCCCGCAGGGCCCTAGTCTCTTGTGACAGAGTGTTCCACCAGATTGGAGCCGCAGCCGAGAAAGCCCTGGCTCTAGTTGAGGCCAGCCTAACCTCTCTGAGGCCTGGGACCTTCAAGATGTTTTTATTTGCAGACTGTAAGTTTCTCTGTGGTGCATACCAGGAGAGGCGGTCCCGTAGGTACGAGGGTCCTAGGCTGTATAGGGCTTTAAAGGTTAAAACCAGCACCTTAAACCTGATCCTGTACTCCACCGGGAGCCAGTGCAGCTGGTATAGTACCGGATGAATGTGATCTCGCAGCGAAGACCCCATAAGGAGTCTCGCCGCGGCATTCTGCACCCGCTGGAGTTTCTGGGTCAGTCTCAAGGGCAGCCCCACGTAGAGCGAGTTACAATAATCCAGTCTGGAGGTGACCGTCGCGTGGATCACAGTGGCTAGGTCAGGGCGAGAGAGATAAGGAGCCAACTGCTTAGCTTGGCGGAGATGAAAAAATGCCGCCTTTGTTATAGCTGTAATCTGCGCCTCCATAGAGAGGGAGGTATCGAAGATTACACCCAAACTCTTAACGGACGATGCTGGCACTAATTGCGCCCCCGCAAGAGATGGGAGTTGCCCCCTCAATCCCATATCGTCCCGTCCCAGCCAGAGGACCTCTGTCTTCGAAAGATTTAACTTCAACCGGCTCCCACGTAACCATCCAGCCACAGCTTCTAGACATCTGGTCAGTGTGTCTGGGGCCGAGTCAGGATGGCCATCCATCAACAGATAGAGTTGGGTGTCATTGGCATACTGATGGCAACCCAACCCAAAACTCCGGACAAGCTGGGCGAGGGGGCGCATAAAGATGTTAAAAAGCATCGGGGAGAGTATCGCACCCTGAGGCACTCCACACGCCAAGGAGTGGCACGATGACAATTCCCCCCCAAGCGCCACCCTCTGTCTCCGACCAGAGAGAAACGAGCGCAGCCACTGAAGGACTGTGCCCTGGATCCCCACGTCGGCAAGGCGGTGGTCCAGGAGTTCGTGATCGACCATGTCGAAGGCTGCTGACAGGTCTAGAAGAATCAGCAGCCCCGACCCGCCTCGATCCAGCTGCCTGCGGAGATCATGTGTTAGGGTGACCAGAGCCGTCTCGGTCCCATGACCAGCGTGGAAACCGGACTGGAATGGATCCAGAGCCGATGTTTCATCCAGAAACCTGTCAAGCTGTTCAGCAACCGCTCTGTCAATCACCTTACCCAGGAATGGAAGATTCGAAACCGGGCGGTAATTGGATAGATCTAAGGGATCTAATGATGTTTTCTTTAAGAGTGGGCGCACCACTGCCTCCTTCAGTTCCCCTGGGAATATCCCGGTGCCAAGGGACAAATTGATGATATCCCCCAGGGGGGCCCGCACCTCGTCTGGACATGCTCTAATCAGCCAAGACGGGCACGGGTCGAGAGGACAGGTGGTGGGCTTTCCAGCTCGGAGGAGTCTGTCCACATTGGCTGGGGATATCCGGTCAAAGTGGTCCAATACTGGACCCGATGACAGTCGAGGGGCCTCCAGTTCCTTTATTGTATCCAAATTGGCAGGGAGGTCATGGCGGAGCAACAAGACCTTCTCCTCAAAAAAGCTCGCAAATGCCTCACAGCTGTGTGTCAAATTGTTATTTAAATTTGGCTGTCCTTCAAGGGACGTTAAAGACCTAATTATACTAAATAATTGCACCGGGCGAGAGCTAGCGGATGCAATGGAGGCCGAGAAGTAAGACTTCTTAGCGGCCTTCACTGCCATCTCGTAGGTTTTCATAAAAGCCCTATAAGATGTTCTTGAGGCTCCATCACGGGCACCCCGCCATACTCGCTCTAGCCGTCTGAGGTCCCGCTTCATTTTCCGGAGCTCCTCGGTAAACCAGGGAGCCCGGTTTCTGAGGGGTCGCAGAGGGCGCTTAGGTGTGATCTCATCGATGGCTGCCAGGAGCTGGGTATTCCAGCCCTCAACAAGCTCAGTCAATGAGTCGCCAGGGGGAGCAAGGTCCCGCAAGGCTTGACGGAATCTATCAGGGTCCATCAGCCTCTGCGGGCGAGCCCAAATCGGCTCGCCACCTAAGCAGGGTGGGGGTGGAAAGTCAATCCTGGCTTTCAGAGCGTAGTGATCAGACCATGGCACCTTCATCGAAAGAGACATGATCACATCTATACCGACGCCAAAGATCAAATCCAGCGTGTGGCCTGCTTGATGTGTGGGGCCCGAAACAAACTGGGAGAGCCCTAGTGTCGCCATGGAAGACACCAGGTCCAGAGCCTGTGAGGAGGGAGTGGCATCAGCATGGATGTTGAACTCCCCCAATAGCAATAGGTTAGGGAACTCCAAGGCCCAGCCGGTCACCACCTCCAGCAGCCCTGACAGGGTGGCTGCTGGTGCGCTAGGTGGCCGGTACACCAGCCAGACAGCCAAGCTCACCTCAGAGCCCCACACTAGGCCAACACATTCAATGCCGGGGATCGATGGCGATGGTAGAGCCCTGAAAGAAGAATCTTCCCGGATTAATAATACCACCCCTCCCCCCCGGCCCACAGTCCGTGACTGGTGGAGGACGGAGAAACCCGGGGGCGCCATCTCTCGTAAGGTAACAGTTTCCCCTTCGCGCACCCAGGTCTCCGTCACACAAGCCAGGTCGACCCCCTGCGAGGGTGGCGGTTTTGTTGCCTATAGACCTGGCATTGCACAACACCAGTGACGGAGGTGAGTAATCCTTGCTCACCCTACCCTCGTCCCTCGGGATGGGGCGCAGATTGGAAGGGGTACGAGCATATCCGTATCTCGATCCCCTTCGCCTATAACATCTGCCCCCACCGCCATACCTCCCTCGCCCCTCCACGGTAGCAATCCCAAGCCTCATACAAGCCTCCATTTACAAAATAGAAAAACAAACCAAACCAAAAACAATTATACCAAAACAAAACCAATCCCCACCCCACTCAATATCCAACCCCAAACCAAAATAAAACGGAACAAAATAAAAATACATGGATAAAAACCACTGTTCACGGTGGTACAACCAAGTAAAAAGTAAAAACACCTTTAAAACACTTTAAAGTATATAAAAACATTTTTAACATTTGCTGCAGCAGCACCAGTGTCCTTAAAGCTGTGGCGGTGGTGAGTGTGGGCCCTGCCCCCTAGGCCTGGTGGAATTAGCCTGAGGAGGGAGCGGCCTTCCCCAACACTCACAGTGCAGCAGCAGCGGTGTCCCAGTGCCTCAATGAGGCCTCTTAAAGCTGTGGCGGTGGTGAGTGTGGGCCCCGCCCCCTAGGCCAGGTGGAATTAGCCTGAGGAGGGAGCGGCCTTCCCCAACACTCACGGTGCAGCAGCAGCAGCCTATAATTTTTAAACTGCAGCAAATCTGAATCTTGTTTTGGAATTACTGTAATATAAGCCTCTTTCCATGTCTCTGGAATTTCACCTGTGTTTAAAATCTCATTCATAACATCTTTCAATGGATTTACCAATTGTTCACTTAATTTTTTGTAATACTTTGCCATTAATCCATCTGGACCAGGAGACTTGCCATTTTTTGTCCGTTTTATTCCCTCTAACAGTTCTTGGACTGTTTTTTGAGTATTTAGAATCATCATTTGTTCCTCTTTTATTTGTGGTAAATTAATACCTTTAATATATTCTTCTATTTAAAAAATTTTCTCCTTCCCTTTCCTATACAAATCTGAAAAATATTTTACAAAAGCTGCTCTTATTTCCTTCGTCTTATCTGTGATCTTTCCATTTATATTAATTTTATTAATGGAGTTCCTCTGCTCATTTTTCTTTAACTGCCATGCTAGCAGTTTTCCTGGTTTATTGGCATGCTCAAAATATTTTTGTTTCATTCTTTTTATTTCCCAACTAATTTCCTCATTAACTATCATTGAATATTGAGTTTGTAATGTTTTAATTGCCTGTTTGACTATTTGTTTTCTTTGACAGTTGTTTCTCCTTATCTGCAGTTTCCTCTAAAATCTCCCTTTTCCTTTTTTCTTTCAATTTCCTTTTAAATGAATTTTGTTGTATAAAGAGTCCTCTCATCACAGCCTTACTTGCATCCCAGTCCGTCTGCAATTTTGTCTGTCCTTGAATGTTTATTTCAAAATAATCACTCAAGGCCTTTTTAGCTTTTTCCATAATTTTTTGATCATCTAGTAAATCTTCATTCAATCTCCATCTAAATGAAATTTGACTTTCTTTTTGTATTTCCATTGTCAAGGAATTGTGATCTGAAAATGTCCTGGGATTGATCTCATTTTTTTAAACTCGGGGTTCCAACTCTTTAGATATCCACAGAGAGTCTATTCTTGAACTGCTGTCATAAACATGGCTGTAATAGGTGAACTCCCTATCAAACAAATGTCTTGTTCTCCATATATCTATCAAATTCAAGTTTTGAGCCAAATCAAAGAAAGTCTTTGGTAGTCTGCCTTCTTTCATCTCTTTTTTCCTGGCTGATCTATCTTTTTCGAATGAAGGAACTCCATTTAAATCTCCCATTAAAATCATCTTTTGATCTGCAAATTCAAATAGTTCTGTTTCCAATTTTTTAAAGAAAGCTGCTTTTTGTCATTAGGTGCATAGATTCCTACCAAAATCACCTTCTCTCCCTGAATTTTTATTTGTATTCTTAAGATCCTTCCTTTCTCATCTTTCTGAATCAATTTGGGTTCTAGTGCAGGATTAATGTAAAAAATTACTCCTCTCTTTTTTGCTTTATCTGCCAAGATGAAGTCCAAACCTATTTTTTTATTAATTAAAACCTTTTTGCATTTTTTTGCAATTTGAAGACAAATTATATTCAACTTCTGTTTTAAAATTACATGCTGAATCCTGTTGCGTTTAGCTTTGCAATTCAAGCCATTCACATTCCAGCTCAATATTTTAAGATTGGCCATTGTCAGAGTCCGTTACAATATCTATTTTTCCACCTGTTGCTCCTTCCAGTGACAGCTGCTCCAAGGCAGCTCTTTGTTCTGCTACTGGGTCTGCTCTTGTGTCATGTCCAGAATCTAAGTCTCTCTTGTGTTTTTCAAAAAATTCTCTAGCCTGATGTTCTGTTGTCAACCTGTATGTCTTTTTCATGAATGTAAAGGATATCCCTTCTGGATACTCCCATTTGTACCTGATACCTACTCTCCTCAATGCTGTTGCTAAAAATCGATATTTAACCCTCCTAAGTCTCAGTTTTAATGGAATCTGCCTAAAGATATCCACTTTCTGTCCAGCAACCATGAGATTGTCCTCAAAACTCTTTTGAAGGATCGCATCCTTCATTCTTTTAGAAACTAATGTAAATAGAACATCTCCTGGCTGCTTTCTCAGTCTACTTTCTCTTGTTTTTATTCTGAAACAGCTCTCCAACAATCCTTCCAACCAGTCTTTCCTTTCTCCCATCCACTCTGAAATTGTCTGTGTAACATATGTTTCTAAATTCTGTTCTGTGTCTGATTCTGGTAGGCCTCTTATTTGTATCGTCCTATCCCTTTCCCTTAGCTCCAAGAGGAGGACTTGGTCCTCTAACTCACTTTGTTTTTCCTGGACTCCTCCCAATGTCCCCATCACCTCCACTTTAGTTTCTAACTTACTGACCTTCTC